TGCCCGGCTAACTTTTTTCTATATATTTTTAGTTGGCAACTAATTTCTTTCTATTTTTAGTAGAGATGCATCTCACTCTGGCTCAGCTTGTCTCGAACTCCTGACCTTGAGCGATCCTCCCTCCTTGGCCTCGTAGAGTGCGGTAGGATGACAGGCGTGAGCCACCGTGCCCGTCTGGCTGGTCTTTTTTGAATAAAATTAAAAGTGGATGTTTCCGTGAGGGTACCTGGCTGCTTGGATATATTGTGAGGTACCTTAACTCAGCAGGGTCGGTTGCTGTGAGCGAGGCTGACACCACAGCACTCTAGCCCCGGCAACAGAGTGAGACTGTCAAAAAAAAAAAAAAAAAAACTCTCAGTAAGGACACAGTTGATTTGAACAAGATCAACCACCTTGACTTAACTGATATTTATATAACTGTACACCTAACGACTGAAGAGTACAAATCTTTTCAATTGCACGTGGTGTATGCACCAAGATAGACCATACACATGGCCGTAAAACAAGTCCCAATAAAATTAAAATATTGGCCGGGCGAGGTGGCTTACGCCTGTCATCCTAGCACTCTGGGAAGCCAAGGTGGGAGGATTGCTTGAGCTCAGGAGTTTGAGACCAGCCTGAGCAAGAGGGAGACCCATCTCTACCAAAAACAGAAACTATTAGCCAGGCATGGTGGCACATGCCTGTAGACTCAGCTACTTAGGAGGCTCAGATAGGAGGATAACTGGAGCCCTGGAATTTGAGGCTGCAGTAAGCTATGATGATGCCACTGCACTTTTGGTGGGCAACAGAGCAAGACTCTGTCCCAAATAAAAAAAATTAAAAATATTAAAACCATACAAATTGTGTTCCCTGACATTGAAATTAAATTGGAAATCAATAGCAATAAGATACTTAGGAAAACCCCAAATATTTGAAAATTAACATACTCCCTATATTGTACCTGGGCCAAAGAAGAAATTATAAGAAAAATTAGAAAATATTTTAAACTGAATAATAAAACAAAACGTACCAAAAATTATGGGATATACTGAAAGAAGTGAATAGAGGAAAATTTATAGTTTTAAATACTTACACTAGAAAAGAAGAATGGTCTAAAATCAATACCTAAGGTTCCACTTTGAAAAGCTAAACAGCAATGTAAACCAAAACTAAAGAGGAAGAAGGAAATAATAGAGGCAAGAGCAAATATCGGCAAAAGAGAAAACAAACAATTGAGGAAATTAAAGTCAAAAGTCAACAAAATTGATTACCTATATCAAGAAAGATCTATACACCCTATAGACATTAAAAGGATAATCAGAGTATATTATGAACTTTATGCAAAAACATCAACAATGCAGATTAAATGAATATTTCCTTGAAAAATACAGTTCACTCAAACATGTATAGATAATGTCATACTTAATGGTGAAATAGTGAATGTCTCCCCTAAACTTGGGATGGAGGCAAGGATGCTCACTGCAGCCACCTCTACTTTGTGTTGGAGATCCTCGCCTTTACCATAGGCAAAAAGAAATATAAGGCAAAAGTTTGCAAAGAAAGAAAACTATTTCTATTTGCATATGACATATCACTTATGAAAAGATCTTAAGCAATTTATAAACAAATGTTAATACTAATAAGTGCATTTAACAGGGCTTCCGGGTACAAGGTAAATATACAAAACAACTGTATTCTTATATACTAGCAAACAACTGAAAACTGACCAGAAATTTAATTCATAATTGTATTAAAAAATAAAATATTCAGGAATTAAATTAGCCAAAGACATGCAAGACCTTTATACTGATAACTATAAAACATTGAGAGAAACTAAAGAAGTTTCAATAAATGGGAAGGTGTCAGTTGTCTCCAAACTGATCATAGATAAGATGCAATCTAATCATAATCCCGAAGTCTTTTTTTTTTATTGACAAACTTGTTCCAAAATTTACATGGAAATTCAAAGATCCCAGGATATGACGTAAAGCATTTTGAAATATAACAAATTTAGAGTACTGACATTATCTGATTTCGAGACTTACTATATAATTAGATTAATCAAGAAAGTGCAGCACTGGCTTAAGGGTCAACATACAGATTTATGGAACAGAATAGAGCCCAGATATAAGGCAGCATTTATACGATCATTTGATTTTCAAAGGCACCAAAACAATTCAATACGGAAAAAGGCCTTTCCAACAAATAAAGCTGTAATAATTGCATATCCACATGGGAACATGAACCTGGCCCTTCTTCACACCATATATATGGAAAAGTTATTTATTTATTTACTTTTGAGACAGAGTCTCGCTGTGTTGCCCGGGCTAGTGTCGTGGCGTCAGCCTCACTCACAGCAACCTCAAACTCCTGGACTCAAGCGATCCTCCTGCCTCAGCCTCCCAAGTAGCTGGGACTACCGGCACGTGCCACCATGCCCGGCTAATTTTTTATATTAGTTGGCCAATTAATTTCTATTTTTAGTAGAGACGGAGTCTCGCTCTTGCTCAGGCTGGCTGGTCTCGAACTCCTGACCTCGAGTGAGCCTCCCGCCTCGGCCTTCCAGAGTGCTAGCATGACAGGCGAGAGCCACCCCGCCCGGCTGAGATCAGTGCCCCTGACATGCATACACTGATGTCACGACGCCGACATATATCAGCTCATCTGGAGGGAAGGTCCAAAGGCCACGTGTAAGGCCCTCGTGAACATGAGGCCATCAAAGGGCACTTCTGCTCCTGTCCCGCCCGAGCTGGGCTCTTCGCCTCCAAGCACCCAGGCATGGGGGAGGGGCCTGAGATGAGCATGGAGGGGCGGGGGAGGAAAACGAGGCCTATAGCAGAGGTAGTGAGGCCTAAAGAAAAGTCGACTTCAGAACCAGTTTCGCCCTGGGCCCCAGTTGGGACACTTCGCCTTCTTCATGCCTGGCTGCCCTTCTGTGAGCTGGGGACTGTGGGAAGAGGCTTTGTTCTACAGCAGCGACGACAGAGCTCTAAGAAGGAAAGATGCCAGGGACGTGCAGGCGGGAATGCATCGCTAGACGCACCCAAAGGTGTCTTTCACCCTGCCTGCCTGCCTGCCCGCCCGCCCGCCCGCCCGCCTGAGTTGGAAGCAATATGCTTTGACAGGCGGGGCACGGTGGCTCACGCCTGTCATCCTAGCACTCTGGGAGGCCGAGGCTGGAGGATTGCTTGAGCTCAGAAGTTCGATACCAGCCTGAGCAAGAGTGAGACCCCGTCTCTGCTATAAAGAGAAATAAATTAGCCAAACAAAAAATATATGGAAAAACTTAGCCGGGCATGGTGGCGCATGCCTGTAGTCCCAGCTAATCGGGAGGCTGAGGCAGGAGGATCACTTGAGCCCAGGAGTCTGAGGTTGCTGTGAGCGAGGCTGACGCCACGGCACGCACTCTAGCCCGGGCAACAGAGTGAGACTCTGTCTCTAAATAAATAAATAAATAAATGAAAAAATAAAGATAAAATAATCTTGGAATTCTGCTCCTTGTCCACATTTCCATGTGGCTCCCTTCATGCATAAACATCAAAAAGGGTGCTGCCTGTCCCATAAACTGCAGCAACGACATGCTGTCTCCTCCCCTGAGGGGAGGGCAGCTGTGCCTATGCATCACAGAGCCCTGCACAACCTAGAAATCAAATCGGGCACCGCAAGACACAAATAGTTTTGAAATGCTAACAGTTATATTTGTGACAAAACCACTTTATCTTTAGATTTCTGAGAAATGCATTTCTGACTTACTGTGGTTGCTCATGCTCCCCCCACTTGCTACTAGAGAAGAAAAATAAAAGGCCCCTCTCCGCCTCCCTCGTCCCGCCCTCCCCTGCACGCCAGCGCCCGCCGTGCTGCCCGCCGGCTCCTGCAGCCCGCAGCGGGGCTAGCGGCGCTGCCAGGCAGTCGCCTGTCACTCAACCCGCCTGGGCGGCCCAGGCGTGGCCGGGCCCACGGTGGCTGTCCCCATTGGCTGTCCTCGCAGACCGCCCTCTTCCGGCCGCCTGGAGCCTGGGAGTGCCCACTTTGGAGTGGGGGTGGGGAAGGATGGGCAGCCTGGGGGTAGTTTTTGTTTTGTTTTGTTTTGTTGAGTCAGAGTCTCACTCTGTTGCCCGGGCTAGAGTGATGCCGCGGCATCAGCCTCGCTCACAGCAACCTCAAACTCCTGGACTCAAGTGATCCTCCTGCCTCAGCCTCCCGAGTAGCTGGGACTACAGGCATGTGCCACCATGCCCGGCTAAGTTTTTCTATATATTTTTAGTTGTTTGGCTAATTTATTTCTATTTATAATAGAGAGGGGGGTCTCGCTCTTGCTCAGGCTGGTATGGAACTCCTGAGCTCAAGCAATCCTCCGGCCTCAGCCTCCCAGAGAGCTAGGATTACAGGCGAGAGCCCCCGTGCCCAGCGCCCAGCCATGATACAACTATTTACTGAAGATAGGTAAAGTCTAAACAGGGAGGCTTCTGGTGAATTGGGGACCCCAGTCAAAAGCTCTGCTATCCATTTTCCCTTGAAGAACCGCTTCCTCCTGCTGCCCCTTTACCAGCACGGGGGCGTGCGGCCAGGCTGTCCAGGCTGGTCTGGAACTCGCGCTCCAGGGAGCCTCCTCCTCCGGCCTCGCCAGCTCAGGCTTATGCTAGCGGGAGCTCCCAGCGGTTCTGAGCAGGAAGGTGAGGTGACATTATCTATTTTCCAAAATAGTTTCTCCTGACCTCGTGCACAGCCCACGGATGGTTGCAGAGCGGCCTAATTTTCTCTAAATTTAAAGCAAGCCTGGAATGACCTCCGGCCTCGTGGAGGAGGCTCGCACTCTCCCCACACCCATCCGGTCAAACGCGTCTCCTGGTTCCTTTCCCCACGCAAGGCTCCTGCCCTCTGCTGAGCTCCTCTGGAGGCCAGAGTCCTGCAGAAACATGGGGCTGAAGCCTTCATTTTTTCCTTCTATCAAGTCCTTCTGTCACTAAGGACCCGCGTGTCTGCTGGCCAAGCCGCCCCGCTGGCGGGGCCCTGCTCACCGGGGCTTTTCTTCCTTTCTGATTTGCAACAGTGAGGCTGGGAAGGACATCATCGTTTTAAGTTTTGGCAGCAGTTCTCGTCTCCCAGCGGGGCCTCCACCCCACCCGGACGTGGCGACATGGCGACATGGCGACATGGCGTGGTCTTCCGCCTGAGTCCTCTGGTCTCGGGCGGGAGGAAGCTGGGAGCGGGAGGCAGGCGCGTTTCCCAGGACCTGGGCTCCTTTTCGCAGCTGTCCGGAGATGAGTTGCAGCTGCTCTGTCAGTCCTCCTCCTCTCCCCACCCCCTGCTAGCGGCTCGCTTCCTCCCCCCTCTCTGGCCGGCCCCCAAGCCAGGCGGGATTCCTGGTGGAAAACATCACTGTCAAAAAGGAAGAATCCTGAGAATGGGAGGCTGAAAAGCGGGGAGGGGCAGCTCTCATCTTCTGGAAGCCAGTTCCACGGATCTGTCACCTCTCGTCTGGGGAGAGATGAAGGGGTGCAGGAAACAGTCAAAGCTATGTCCTTCGGCCCGCCACCCCACTGCGCTCCCACACTAAGGGCCTGCCCAGGCCTTCAGGCCTCCGGCCAGATTTCTTTAATTTACTCTGTGGTTTCTAGAATAGACGCTTCCAAGGCCTGGGGGTAAGGGTACTGTAAGGGAAATGAGAGGAAAAAGAGGGCAGGAAGATTTTGCACTAACAGTGGAAGAGCTAGTGAGTGAAGAAACGGGAATGGTCCGGGCGCGGCGCGGTGGCTCACGCCTGTAATCCCAGCATTCTGGGAGGCCAAGGCAGGAGGATTGCTCAAGATCAGGAGTCCGAAACCACCCTGGGCAAGAGCGAGACCCCGTCTCTACTATAAATAGAAAGAAATTAATTGACCAACTAATACATATAGAAAAAATTAGCGGGCATGGGTGGTGCATGCTGTAGTCCCAGCTACTTGGAGGCTGAGGCAGGAGGATTGCTTGAGTCCAGGAGTTTGAGGCTGATGCCACGGCACTGTAGCCTGGCCAACAGAGCGAGACTCTGCCAAAGGGAGGGAGGGAGGGAGGAAGGAATTAGATTAACACAGAACCATGCCAGAACTATGCAAGCTGCACATCTGGTCTCATGTTCTCTTTGGAAGTTTTCTGAGAAACACTTTTTTAAAAAAATCTCAATCTGTTCTAGTGGATCTTTCTGAGTGTTTTGTTTTGTTTTGTTTTGTTTTTGTTTGAGACAGAGTCTCACCGTTGCCTGGGCTAGAGTGAGTGCCGTGGCGTCAGCCTCGCTCACAGCAACCTCAAACTCCTGGGCTCAAGCAATCCTCCTGCCTCAGCCCCGAGTAGCTGGGACTACAGGCATGCGCCCCATGCCCGGCTAATACTTTTCTATATATTTTTAGTTGGCCAACTAATTTCTTTCTATTTTTAGTAGAGATGGCATCTCACTCTGGCTCAGGCTGGTCTCGAACTCCTGACCTTGAGCGATCCTCCCTCCTTGGCCTCGTAGAGTGCTAGGATGACAGGCGTGAGCCACCGTGCCCGTCTGGCCTGGGTCTTTTTTGAATAAAATTAAAAGTGATGTTTCCGTGAGGGTACCTGGCTGCTTGGATATATTGTGAGTACCTTAAACTCAGCAGGTCTAAAATTAGAAACGGGAAGCATCATGTCCCCACCAAAACACGTCCACCCCTCGTTGTCCCCCTCACCTGTGCCACAGCGCTACGAGTGAGTGCCCGTGCGCGTCAGCCTCCGCTCACAGCAACCTCAGACTCCTAACCTCAAGCGTCCTCCTGCCTCAGCCTCCCGAGTAGCTGGGACTACAGGCAGGCGCCACCTGCCCGGCTGAATGACTATATTTTGAATGAATGAATGAACAAACAGATGGTTACAGGGTCAGCTGTAACAATCGACTCCTCAAATAAGTCCCATTTATTTTCCAAGGTGAAAAGCAGGTATAGAGTAAAGCTGAAAAAAATTATATTCATGCCTTAACTTTTGTTTAGTTCTATAAATAGCATGCACGCCACTGTGCAACCAACAGAACCACAATAGTGAGGCGTGTGTAGTTTGCTCTTTTCCTAACAGGCAAGGCACTGCCAGGAAGACAATGCTTTATTTTGCTGCTTAGCAGACAGACGGACA